AAATTTCGAATTAAATCCAATTTAATTTCATATTGGTATCAATTAGGGGAACTTCCAAAAATAGGTTTAGGCTAATTAGGAAAGATTTTGAAATTTAAATTCATTTAAATTTGAATTAAGAGACTTTCCAAATAATAAAGGGCTATATTAGGATAGTAATAAAGAGCATTACGAAATTGAAATCAGGGTATTGGGGGATGGGTTGGCTGGCGGCTAGGGCTTGGGAAGGTGTGGCCGGCGGTGTGAGAGGAAGTGGTGGGGGAAAACTGGCGGTTTGTATGGGAAAAGGGGGAGGAGACCGGCGGCTAAGACTTAGGGCCGTAGGGTTGGGGGGTTTGAAGGTGAAGGTTTGCAGTTTGAGGTGGAGAGGGGGGAGGAGATCGGCTATTTGGGAGGAGGAAGGAGGTCGGCGTTTGGAGGGAAGCCAAGGAGGAAGGAAGGTGAAGTAGGACGAAACCGAGAGCCTGGACACTTTCTACGGCTAGCGGGTGTTGCTCTTGCTCTCACCTAGGACTTCACCTCTCTCTAGAGCTTTCAACACTCAAGGGAACTAGAAGGCTGAAATTTCATTAATCAATCATCATCCAATACAAAAGCTAGGGTCTTCATATATAGGCCTCAAGGAACAAAAGACACAAAGACTAAATTGCCCACTGGGCTACAACACGAACTAATCCCTCACAGAGGTACATTGGTAAAAACTAGAACATAAATAAAAGAAATACATAAAATGCATCACAAGTAAAGACTCCTAATCATAAACGTCGATGTACGATGCCTCATTTGATAGACGCGCCAGAATCTCCTTCTAATGTCCTCATCAATTTCATTACTAACAGTCCATAGCTACACTTCCCAAAGATCTCAACCATTCAAATTGCTATCATCTCTTTTAATCACCATGGTACTCTCTCCTGCCTGTCTTCTCCACCTCTCCTTCACTAAAACGAGAATAATTCATCCTCTCTCAATCATCTCATGTTCCTTTACTCCACCAACCATAAACTCTAGCTCTCATCAAGAACCTATCTCCCCACGACAAAAGCAGTCGAATATAAAACCAACAAAAAATGCAGCAGGGCTTATCACTTTGGTTCACATCAAGTTCATAAGTAATTTTGTAGTGTTTAAGTACTCTTTCTAGATTTTAGGAACGGGACAAGTATGGTATGGGAAACAGATCAACCAACCAGGCGAACCACACCCTGGGCACAAAGACAGAGATTTGAACATTGGTGCTAATGTAGTCAGACTTGTCATGAGAAGAGTCATCTGGTGACTATCAGAGATAAGTTTGGATAGCTTCTTGTTGATTACCATCTTCAGTTTCATCTTCTCCATCGCCGATTGATGGGGACATCAGAGCGTGGAAAGTCTATCAGAGACGTGGCCGTCGATCTACGACCATGATTGAGTCGATGTATTTCTAAGTCGCATTATTTATTTTCTTTATTATTATGTCATGTTGTATTTGCTTTATTAGTGTTTTCATTTTTACCCCTTAAGGGAGGTTGTATGTAAGCCCAGTGGGCGTCATCGTCTTTTAATTTTCTTGAGTCTTTTGTACGAGGCTATATATAGCCCCATTGTTCTTTTTTCATGTTAATGAATGAATCATTAAAAAAACTTTTGCCATTGCATGAGTTCTTGGAGAGATCTTGAGAGTGCTTGGAGATAGATCCCTAGGAGAGGGAATCCGGATCACCCACCAACCTTGGAGACGGCCGGGTTCGTGGTTCTCTTCGTATCTAGTTTTCCCTTTCCCTTAGTCACCTAGCCGTCGGCCACCTAACCCACTTCCCCACCCCAAACCGCCGGTCATCATAGCCTCCTCCCTCACTCCACCGAAACTCCCCACTAAGACCCACCATGTCGCCGGCCCTATTCCCTCCTCTTCTCCTCCATCCTTGCTTACATTGATTCCTTTCCTAATTGGATTGATTAATTTAGGTAACTCAATAACTTGTCAAATTCAAATTTATTTGAATTTGAAAAGTTACCTAAAATATCATTCCTATTTTAGGAAACTTTCCAAATCCTTTCCTTTTGAATTAAAGTTAAATTAGGATGAAATATTTCATCCTAAATTTAATTCCATAACTTAAGGAAGCATTAAAAGCTTCATTAATCTCTCTCCCTATCCCATTAAGCCGTCGGCCCCCTCCTTGGCCAAAAATCCATTCCTCTCTTGGAGACAATTCAAACTTCTCCACCTCCTTGGCCAAAAATTCCTAACCCCCATTATTTGATTTATTTCCAAAGGAGAAGCTCTCCTTTTGGAAATACATTAAAGCCTCCCCCATCCCCTAATACCGCCGGCCTCCTCTCTCCTATATGCCCCCTCTCTTTCTTTCCAATCTCCCTCCCCCACATTAAATCCTTTCCCCTTTGTTCCGAAGCAAGGTTCTCCACAAAGATTTTGGCAAGGGATTTTTTTCATACTTTCTCCAACATTTGAAGGCTTGAAAGAACACTTTTCTTTCAAGAAGAAATTCTTGAGGAAGACCAAAGAAAAAGGGGACGTCGTCTACAACACATCCATCCTTTGACGTGATATATGGCCGATCCAAATCTTGATTATGGCATCACCTACTCTATAGCTCATTCATTGTCCAACAATTTCTCTTTTAGAATACCTTGTTTTCTCTATCCCTCGCTCTCGATGTATTTCGACATTCTGCATATGCTTCCCCTTATCCATCTAATCATTCCACCCCATGAATCTCTTTTTCACTCTTACCATTTATATCAATCTATCCGAAAACCATGAAATGGACTATAAAATTAGCGAAACAACAAGAAATACAAATTTCCACAAGATAAAGAAGGCCAAAAAAATAGTTGATGGGGACATCAGGGCATGGAACGTACATTAGAGGCGTGGCCGTCGATCTACGGCCACAATTGCGTCGATGTATTTTTGAGTTATTTCATGTATTTGTTTTATTATATTATTTTTTATTTATGAGTATTTGTTTTTCTTTATTATGTTATATAGCTTTTATTATTTATGTATTTCTTGCTTTCCCGTTTTACCCTTTTATTAATGGAGGTCGTATGTAAGCCCTAGGGGCATTGTCATCCATTATTTTCTTGAGTTGTTGTACAAGGTTATTTATAGTCCTTATGTTCTTCTTCTAAGGTTAATGAATGATTGAATGATAAAAAAAATTTATGTTATTGCTTGAGTTCTTGAGAGATCTTGAGAGTGCTTGGAGAGAGAGCGAGATCCCTAGGAGAGGGAATTTGAATAACCCACCAACCTTAGAGACGGTCAGATTCGTGGTTCTTCTTCTTTATCTTGTTGTCACCCTTTCTTCATCCCATAGCCGTCGGCCAAGGGTTCTCCTGGACCCTAAGACGCCGGCCATCTAGCCCCACCACCACCGGCCGGCTACCTTGGCTTCTTCCCCCTCCCTACGTGCCACCACGCCTTTCCTAAATTAGATTTCATGATTTTTAGTAACTCTACTTATGATTAAATTCAAATTTATTTGAATTTGAAATAGTTGCCTAATTTATGAAATCCTATTTTAGGAAACCTACTAAATCCCTTCATATTTAAATTATAAATTAAGATGGGAAGAGATATTTCTTTCGAAACTTAATTCAATAATTTAAGTAAGCATTAAAGACCTCATTAAACTCCTCCCTCCCAAGCAACGGCCCTAGCTTCCTTTTCCCCTCTTGAGTGCCATTACCTATTCTAGATTGACATTATTAGGATAGATTTTGAATTCAAATCCACCTAATTTGAAATTTAAAATCTTTCCTAAATTATTAAATCTATTTATAAAAAATTTCCTAATTGACCCTCTACTCAAATCCTAATCAAATTTAATTCCTAATCAAATTTAAATTAAATTTGATTGAAGCCTTTTGCCTTATGAAGAGTTCTCTTATTTGAAAGGTGTTTAATTCCTCCCCAATTAACTCCAAACCCTCATTATAGCTGACGGCCCCTCTCTCCTACCCGCCCCCTATCTTGGTCCCAATCCCCTCTCTCCTTGCCATTAATTCTCCCTCTCTTTGGAATAATTTCAAATTCCAAACACCTAAATCCTCCACACTCAAATCTGAAATTCAAACTTCAGATTTTGATTATTCTCCTCCTCTAACCTAACCCTAATGCCAACGTGTGGTTCCCCAACTATGGTCGGCCATCTCTCCCCCTCTTTCCCTTTGGAATTTGCAAGATGAGATCCTCTCTCTCCATAGGAACTTTCAAGGGAAGTACCAATTAGAGTTTTCAACACTTCAACACTAGAGAAACTTCTTTCTCTCTAAGTTGAACCTTCAAGGAAGCTACAACGCACTTCTTCAACATTTTAACTACGTGTTCCGGATGTTGACAAAGGTGACTTCTTCCCCTTTTTAATTACCTTCCTAATCCCCTAATCTTGTAGGTATGACGATTCACAAAGGGCCGTGCTTCACCTTTGTCTAAGCTTAGTAAACGTAGGGTTTTGTTTCGTCGTTGCCCAAAGCCTAGTAAACGTAGGATTGAATGTACTTTCAATGCTTCTAATCTTATTGTTAGATTAGGGATTTTGTTGAAAGCTGTTCCATTTGCATGTTGTTGAATCTCTTTGTTGTTTTGATAATTCAAGTGCTTATTGTGCAACTTGGCCTAAACGGAAATGACCGCTCTTAACTTTTATTTTGTCATTTTAATTTGCTAATAGTTCTAATCATAATTGTTTTTATGAAGAAATCGTGCAAGTTCTTATCATATCACTTTAAACATTGTAGTCCTACATTAATAGTAATCAAGAACAATGTGTATATTTTAAAGGATTCCACAACAAGAAAACCTACAGTCCTCAAAATACAGAGCTTCATGTTTCAATATAGCTAGTTGAATCTTAACTTTCGAAAAAAAAAAGTTTTGATACAAGAAACATAGCACAAGGGAGATTAATTCTAACAAGAATCTTAATAACAACATATGATTAGCAATGCCTTAGTCAGAATTAGTCAAATCAATAGTTGATAATCACCATTAACATCCTGTCTTAAAAGAGACAAAACAGCTTTATGGACTGCATCACGCTCAACATTCTCCTCTGCAATATGTGAAGGTAAATAGTTCAGCAATTTGGAGGAAGAGAGGAGTCCCAAAGCACAAGTCTATAGAGTACCACAAGCAAGAAGTTGACCAAGGACATCCACAATCTTCGAAACATGATCTGGATTATCTTTGCAGAGAAGAGGAAGGCCTCGAATTGCCTGTACTCTCACCTGCCCCCAAAATAAACAGCTTTACTCTTAAAAAATTTCAATCAAACCTATTAACACCAAAAAGTTATAAAAAATATAGTCTCCGATAAAAGTCAAAACAGCATTCAACAGTAAATGATAGCAGATGGCCACCCATCCTTCTAATATAAACTTCAAAACAAGAATCAAATGCTATAAATTAATGCATAACAATTGACATATATAAAGAAAACATAAAAAAATGGAGTAAAATGATTAAAGCAAAACAATCAATCATTTTGCACAGTTGAATCTTGCCCTTAATGACTTCATCATCATTAGAACTATCAATTCTCATTATGGATTCAGTCCGTATGAGTGTTGCATGCCATGTTAAAAACCTATTATACATAAATCTTTGTGTAGAAATTCTATCTATGTCATATATAGTTTTTTGCTTTTCCATCCTAATGATTCAAAAATGAAGTTATTTATTTCTAATGTGTGCTGAGAATTTGACTCTTGATGAGATAAAATGGAGAAAAATGATTCATGTAGCCAACCCCATGTAGAGGGATAAAGGCTTGATGTCATCATCATAACATTTAATATAGTCATTCCTCAATATATCCTCTTAGTTACGCCACACATCAATCTTAATATTGGTTGGTCCCATAAGCCCAATTGTGTTCAAATATTCTAAACTGGCATATCAATGATTTAATGATAACAAATATTTATTGGTGTCATCTAATGATTTGTTATTTGTTTAACGGCTTAATTAATTAAGCATCCAACCACGAAGATGATGAACCTAGTGCCAAGCATGCTTGAGGCTCTTGCAGTCTAAAAAAAAGCTTCAAATGGGAAAAAATTCAGCAAGCCTCAGAAATTCAACAAAGAAAAATTGCTTGGGGCTTACTTAAGGTAATTATGTTTTCAGTGTAATGACTATAAATAATATTGCAGATAAAGATGCTTGAACACACATAAAAGCTTATAGCATATATGTAATGTAAACTATTATAAAAGTGGCTTACGATTCTCCTAATATAAAGTTCTAGCCATTCATTACATATTACTAATATTTAATCTAAGCCCAATATTATATTCTTAAGTGCTACTCTAATATACTACCACTTCATTAATTTTTTGCACAAATTTTGTTTCCACTAATTATTAAGAGCTTTATTATAATGTTCTTAAGCTCTTTCTTATAACTATATTCTGCTTTATGACCTTACCAATTAAATTAACTTTTATCTCTTCAACTACTACGCCTATTAAATTAGTGTTTTTTTATTATTTCAACTTTGTCATTTCATTCCTACTCATCTCGCTTTCCCTCCCTCCCTCACACTAACCCTTCTGCCTTCTTCCAAACGCATGGTAACACTTTGTTTTATTCTACATTGCTTCCAGAACACCTGTGGAATCATCAAGCTGAAACGCTTATGGCTCCCAAATGCATCGTAGCCCTTTGTCTTCTCCTCAGTCTCTTCTAAGTCACAAACACATCAAAACCCTTCATCTTATCCTCTATCACTTCGAAATGGCCTTCTGATTCAAACTTTAAAAGCTGTGGATCATTTTGTGATGCAAATTCCCTTATAAACTCCTCTTCTCCTTAACACAATGACGGCCACGCCAATGACTTCCCTAGCATGCTCCCAAGACAACTTTTGCTTTTATTTGTTGTCAATAGTTTATGGAATTTGGCTGAGAACATAAGGAGAGTAGAGAAGATGAGGGGTCAATGGCACATCATCATCAGGAGAATTGCTCGGGTTATTAAACCCTTTCATTAAAGGTGTGTTTGGAAGATGAAAATTTGAATCACAATCAATTAACAACAACAAGCCTTTATCCCACTACGTGGTGCCGACTACATGAATCTTTTTTCTCTATTGTGTCCAGTTAAGAGTGGAATTCTCATTTAAATCTATTAAAGAAATATCATTTCTAATATTTTCTAACCAAGTCTTTTTAAGTCTACATCTACATCTCTTAACATAAGCCAAATCTAATACACCTACTCTCCTAACCGAATCATCAAAAGGCCGAAATTTTATATGACCAAAGCATCTAAGGCAATTCTCTCTAATCTTATCTACCACTGTAACAAATCCAACCTTTTCACTTATATGATCATATTGAGAAATTGTTTATGGCTAGGATCAGTTTATTCCTTCTTCGAGATCATATAAAACCATTTTTAATTTTCCATTACAAAATCATCAATTTTAGATTCATGAATTTCATTCTTTAAGCATAAACCTAAGAGTTTTCTTAGTTTTACATGGTATTGTTTATAATTATTTACTTGACACACATAATTGATAAAATTTTTGCCCAAATGGTGAGGTTATTTTATTTGATTTATAAGAATGGCTTGCTTTAATCCATTTAAAATGTAACATATATGTTGCACAAAATTAATTCACAATTTGGATGTCACTCTTGCATTTATAATTTTTTTTGCAGAGTTGCAAACCTGGATTAATCTTAAATACATCTGCATATAATTCATGTTCATAATTTTCTCTAGAACATTTATATTGTTAAAATTTTACTAATTTATTATTGAGTTCTAGAAAACTATATTTTAGCACCAATATGCCTGAGTTCAGACCCAGTATCATATCATTTTCACCATCGGTCTAAGATTTTTTTTTGTTTTTGTTTCCTCCAGTAATATAAAGTTTTATGTTCTTGTTATGGATTCCGTTCTTCTTGTTTCCGCTGTTTAGTGATTGGATGGACTGCTTAGATGCAAACTTCTTCCAACTAATGTTGCCTTTCTGTTTCAAATAATTTAGTTTTTGGATTTAGTCAATTAAAATTTCAAATCGACAAAATATTCTTCTCCAATTATACTATATTTTAGGGAAATTCCAAATAGAAATTGGAAGTTCTGCAGTGAAGATGCCAATAAGAAATATGAAAATAAGAGATCTTTATTCGAAACAAAAACATAAGAAGAAATAAGGTTAAAAAATTTATGAAATGTTTGGTCAAGAAACACATCTCTTCATATTTTGCTTCTTTTATTGATTTGTAATTTGGGTAGGTAAGTGCCCCATCATTCAAAATTCTTCATATTTTGCTTATTTTATTGATTTGTTATTTGGGCAAACTGCTATAGTTTGATGATTTCTCCACCAAAATATGATTGTTTCTAATGTGAGAGAACATCCTGGATAGTACATTTTTCACAATTACACATCATACTATTAAAGTTTGTCAATAATTTTATGGATTTGAGCTGCATAAAAGTTGAAGTGCTATTGGTTAGGAATGATGCCAATTTCATATGGTTATTAGAAATGTTCTAATTCATGTTGATATTTTCCTAGGATGCACTGACACGCCTCTTAAAGAGGGTATGCAGTGTCGGACACGTGTCGGACATGGACACGGCATAGACACGTGTCCTACACGGCATTGGAGTGTCGCAATTTAAAAAATTTAAATTAAAATCGGACACGCGTGTCCGGTTATTAAATGATAAAATCGTTCATTCTATTTAGCCTTTTCCGCAAACTAGAAGCCCTATTTTTCCGATCCATGAAAGAAATTTTCTAGGGCGGACCGGGAGAGCTCGCAGTCGACGCCAAACGGAGCCCGTTGCCTTCGCCTCTCGTTCCTTCGTCATCTCTGCTCAAGCCGAGGCCAAGGAGAGCTTGTCTTTCCCAATCCTTCATTCTTGCGTGATTTCTGCAGTCATCCGAGGCAAAGTTCGCAATCAAGGCCAAACAGAGCACCTTCTGCGCGCAAGAGAGCCAAAACCTGTAAGTGGATTTCACCATTTCTTCTCTTCATTGTTGAAAAACCTAATGTACATGCTCGGTATTGCTAGGTACATGCTCGGTACTGCTAAGTACATGCTCGGTACCATTCAGTACATGCTCGGTACTGCTCAGTACATGCTCGGTACCATTCAGTACATGCTCGGTACTGCTCAATACATGCTCGGTATAGCAAGGTACATACTCTGTACCACTCGATATCTTCCCATACAAACAACTTACGAACTTTAAAAACAAGCATAACTTCAAAATTACTCTTACAATAAAATTTTGTTTCGGGGGAACTGCCCCCGGAAACCCTCTCAGGGGCGCTGCCCCTTGACCCCGCAACCTGACCGGGCAGGTCGAACCCCGCCAGGGGGCAGCACCCCCTTGGACCCCCAGCAGACCGGTATATTGTTGTATTCATGTTGTCTTATTATTAGGATATTTTGATTTCACTTCATATCAATTTAATTTAATTTATTCATATGTATGATTGGTTTGTTAGCAAAATGAGCTCGGATGCTGGCGGGAGTGGATTAGGTGAAGGTTCAAAAGAGTCATCTGTAGAAACTGATAAGCCGTTATGGATTCATGTTACAAAGTTAGGAAAAACATTTGAAGGAGGAGGGAATGTGTCATTCAAATGCAATTATCGTGGTGGCACCTACAAAAGATCTTATTCTAGGGTGAAGGCACATCTACTTAAAATTTCTGGCCATGGAATAAAAATGTGACCTAAGATTACTACATCGCAGTTGATTGAAATGAACAGACTAGTTGATGAAGCTGAATATAGGATCCAAAGGACACTCCCTAAAGAGATACCCTTGTCATCTACTCATGGCTCATCCCACACTTCTTCCTCATCTGTGAGAGTTGATCAAGCTTTATCATTTAAAAGTGAAGGATATGAAACAAAGAAAAAAAAGGAGTAGCCAGTAGTCCTCTAGAGAAGGCTTTTAATTTGCAGCAACGAGAGGAATTGGATGGTGAAATAACAAGAATGTTTTTTTCAGCGGGACTTCCTTTCAACCTTACAAGAAATCCTCATTATAAAAATGCATTCATTTTTGCATGTAACAACAACCTCGTAGGATATGTTTCACCTGGCTATAATGCATTAAGATCAAAATTATTTGAAAGAGAAAGAGCACATATTGAGACATTGCTTGAACCAACAAAAAGAGTGTGGAAAGAAAAAGGTGTTAGTTTGGTGTGTGATGGTTGGACAGATCCTCAAAGAAGACCCCTTATTAATTTCATGGCCATTACAGTGAATTACCCAATGTTCATTAAAGCAGTAAATTCTGAAGGAGAATACAAGGATAAACATTTTATTGTCAATTTGATTAAAGAGGTGATAGTCATGATTGGGCCTTCAAATGTTGTGCAGGTTATTACAGATAATGCATCAATGTGTAGAGCTCCAGGATTATAAGTGGAGCAAACTTATCCCCATATATTTTGGACACCCTGTGTTGTGCACACTTTAAATCTTGCTCTAAAAAATATTTGTGCAGCAAAGAATACAGAGGCTAATGAAATCATCTATGCTGAATGTCATTGGATAACAGTGGTTGCAGATGATGTTGTTCTGATCAAAAATTTTATTATGAACCATTCGATGAGACTTTCAATGTTTAATGATTTCTCCCACTTGAAAATGTTAGCTGTTGCTGAAACTCATTTTGCCTCTATAATAATCATGTTTAGAAGATTCAAATAAATTAAAAATGCTCTTCAATCTATGGTAATTAGTAAGAAGTGGTCTTGCTATCGAGAAGATGATGTTGAGAATGCAAGATATGTTAAAGAAAAGGTCTTAGATGATTTGTTGTGGGATAATGTAGACTACATTTTGGCTTTCACTTATCCAATTTATGATATGTTGAGAGAGGCTGACACAGATAAATCATGCCTACATTTGATTTATGAGATGTGGGACTCTATGTTAGCAAAAGTGAAAGAAATTATATACAGACATAAAAGAAAGTCACATGATGAAGACTCAAATTTTTAGAGCATTGTCTATATCATTCTTGAAGATAGGTGGAGCAAAAGCAACACATCTTTGCATTGTTTGGCTCATTCATTAAATCCAAGGTATATTTATATACATCCTTTAAATTAATTTAAATTTGTTGGTAAATGAACAGATAATTTTCTATGCTTTATATTATTTGAAAGTATTCAAGTAAAGAATGGCTTCAAGAAGACCCTCAACGTGTCTCACCACAAAAAAGATTTAGAAGTTTCAAATATGAAAAAGATATGCCTGAAAAGATATTTCCCAAATGAGGAGGAGAGAAGAAAAATTAATATAGAACTTGCAAAGTTCTTTGGATATTTAGAGGATTTTGGTGATCAAGAATCTTTGGTTGATAGATGGAGGATGGATCCAAAAATGTGGTGGGAAGCTTCAGCACCGCTTCTTCAAACAATAGCAATAAAACTTCTTGGTCAAGTATCATCCTCTTCCTGTTGTGAGAGAAATTGGAGCACATACTCATTTAT